GGAGGGGAATGAAGATAAGAATCAGACGGGGTAGGAGGAGAGAGGGCAAGGATAGAGAAAGGAAACCAACGGGGGAGGACATCTCTGAGAGAAGCTGCAGACCCATGACAGAGTTGGCTCCCTGGAGGACATGGGAGTGACTCTAGCTGAGACTCCTAGCTGTGTGGGACATGAAGACTGAACAGGCTACATTCGAGCCAAATGGGACTTCCAGTGAAGGTCACCAACCCACCCACAAAACCTTCGACCCCAAATCTACCCTGCCTACAGGATGTTCAGGGATAAAGATGGAGCACAGAAAGAGGGAATGCTAGCCAATGACTGGCCCAACCTGAGACCCACCCCGTAGGAGAAAGCCAGCCCTTGACACTATTAATGATACTCTGCTATGCTTGCAGACAGGAACCTAGCATAACTGTTCTCTGGGAGGCTCCACCCAGCAGCAGAACAAAACAGAGGCTGAGACCCACAGCCAAGCATTAATTAGACCTAGGGGTATCTTGTGGAGGAGTGTGGGGAAGGATAGAAGGTCCCAGAGGGGACAAGAACCCCTCAAGAAGACCAATAGTGCCATCTAACTTAAGCCCATAGGAGCTTATAGAGACTGACACACCAACCAAAGAACATGCTTGGACTGGACTTAGGCCCACGTAACACATGTAACTAATGGACAGCTTGGTCCTCATGTGGGTCTCCTAGCAACAAGGGGAGTGTGAGTTATACCTGACATGGACTCGGTTGCCTGCTTTTGGATCATCTTCCCCTAGCAAGGATACCTTGCTGGCCTCAATAGAAGAGGATATACTAAGTCCTGATGGGCCAGAGTGGGTTTGTAGAGGGGAGGGCTCCCCTTTTCTGAGGACAAGGGAAGGGGGGGAAAGGAGAAAAGGGTCGGAGGGTGAGACTGGCAGGAAAGGAGGAAGGTGGCTGTGATCAGGATATAAAATGACTAGATGAATAAATTTATTTTAAAAAAAAAAGATCTAGGGTGCACCATTAAAACACAAAGCTTACAAATCATGGGCACAGAAGGAAGAGATACACAAATTACAGACAAAGAAAACACAGTCAACAAAATCATAGTGCCTTTAATCACAGAACTCAGGAGGCAGAGGTAGGTGGTTCTCTGCAAATTCAAGAATGGTCTACTCTACATAGTAATTCCAGGCCAGTCAGAGTTACACAGAGAGAACTTCTCTCTTTCTTTCAAAAAAAAAAAAAGAAAGAAAGAAAGAAAGAAAGAAAGAAAGAAAGAAAGAAAGAAAGAAAGAAAGAAAGAAATCCCAGAAAAGAAAGCCCCTAAATCCTTTTAGACAGGTAACAATACTGAAAGCAACAAAAGAGAAAAAAGAGAAGCAACAAGTTAAACATGAGGACAACCCCATTAGAATAACAGCAGATTTATAACAAGAAATCTAAAAGCACGGAGTAATGCATTTTAAACTTGCAATGGCAATACCACTATCTCAGAATACTGTATGCAGCAAAACTATTCTTCACAATTGAATAAAAAGGCAGGCATTTCACAAGCTGAAAGTTTTCATGACATGAAGCTAGCACTGCAGAAGATACCTAAACTAACTCTACACACTGAAAAAGAAAAAAAAAAAAAGTAAGCACACCATGAGGACATTAAAAAAAATAAAGGAAAGGATGAACAAATTATTAGAAACATCAAATATTACAAAAACAAATTAGGTGTTAATCATGAATTAACACCTACCTCTCAATAACTCTGAGTATTAATAACCTCAGTTCTTCAAGATAAAGCAAACTAGCAGACTCCATTAAAAAATAGTCCTCTGTCTACTTGTTGTTGCCTGCAAGAAACACAACTCAATGGCAAAGACAAGCAAAGTCTTAGAATTAAAACTATGTCAAGCAAATGGACTCTCAAAGCAAGGAGATGTAATTCTGGTAATATCTCACAAAGACAACTTAAAACAAAAACTAGAGATTTCATGTTAAGGTTTATGCTATTCATGAAGTCTCACTGGATTTTCTGGCTCCCTTTCAAAGCACTCTTCCTGGAGAATGTGCCCTCCAAGGCACTAGATCAGTGGTTCCCTACCTTCTTAACTCTACAACCCTTTAACATAGTTCCTCATGTTGCAGTGACCCTCAACCATAGAATTATTTTCTTTGCTACTTCATAACTATAATTTTGCTATTGTTATGAATCATAATCTAAATATCTGATATGCAGGATATCTGACATGTGACCCCCAAAGGGTCGCAACCCACAGGTTGAGAGAGACACATCTTAGTCCTCCTCAGGTCCTTGCCTGTTTCCTAACAGGCTGTAGGTAGCCTTTTTAGTCTGTGGCCCATGAAGCTGGTTTATAATAAACTCTCAAGAGACTGTTAAAGAAAGAGATAATGATCCAAGAGATTGTTAATAATTCACCTGAATATATTAATTTCAAACATACCAAATATCAGCACATCCACATTTATGAAATAAACACTGCTGGATATAAAGGAAAAAGGGACTTCAACAGAGTAATGGTGAGCAACTCAACATCTCATTCTTACTCTCAGAAAAAAGTCACGGGTTTCATATTAATACCTTGATATCTACATACAAAGACCATGATTTCTGTTTTAGGTTTGATTGCTGCCAATTCTAGGGCCATACAGATAGGATGTAAAGATGGCTCATTCTCATCACCAGAAAAATTATTGTTGAAGCACCTACCTGACCTTAGAATCATCTTGATAATGGCTCATGGTTCAGAGTAATGGGGCATTCTCACGATTCAGTTATTCTGTTGCAGAGATCACATCATCAAGAGAGAGTGAGGCAGTGGACTGGTATTATAATTGTGCCATCACCATCAAAAGCAAAACCAAAATACACACTTTTGAAAGGGTGTCATCTTGATTAAAGAATAACCAGATCAAAGCAGAGCGGTATCCTGTGCCGGAGTTCTATACTGATGCCACGGGTGAGTTCTAGAAACACACAGGTAATTGCCACGTTGCTGGATCTTTGTCATGACTACCAGATACGAATGGAGAAATCACTAGCAGCACAGCGACCTTTATATAGAAAAATGACTTTTCTTTCTATCAAGCCTAAGCTGGAAAGCAAACATTTATAAGGACTTCCCATTGCTTTTCTTACCTTTTTCGGTTTGTATTTTATAGAAAATTTATGAAACTAACTTCTAAATTATCTCAAAGTTTGCATTTCATATGGGTAAGATATACTTACATAGAACCAAGTTGTTCTAGCCAACTACTACTCATATTCCTTCCATTTTAGGAGATTTTTATTAATTTTAAATCATGTCTAAGTGTGTTTCTGCATGTGGGTACATGCCCACACAGGCCAGAGGTGCCAGATCTGCTAGAACTGGAATCACAGACAGTTGTGAGCCATGGGGACTGAATTTTGGTCCTCTGGAAGTACAACAAGGTTTCTTAATTGCTGAGATATTTCTCCAGGGCCCCTTCCATTATTTAACTTTTTCTTCCCATGCTTGTAAATCAGCATAATTTCCCTTTGAGCTGCTGGCAGATCTTCTCTTCTGTTTTTCCTTCAGCAAAAGCTATTACCTGTTTCTAGTTTCTTTCCAGCCAAAAGAACACCTACATTTCATATCTTTCTTCATCTCTCCCCATAAAACTTCTAAAAAATGTAATTTGGAATTTATTCTTAAGGGATTCTAGTGGCAAAAAAAGATGTCCTTTCCTTGGAAATAAAGTCTATTCCTTTATTTTATGGCTGCAGAAAAGTCTTTTATATAAAAGATTTCAATGAAAAAGACAGCTGCTAATGAATTTTGCTTAATTAAATCTTAAATAAGATTTTGACTGAAAGGGCATATCCAACAACATGAGTCTTTAACACTGTCTTTCTAAAGCTAGTTTTTATGGCCTCACTCTAACGACCTTTAAGAAACCCTTGTTTACTTGGTGTCCTTTAAACTGGGGGTGGGGTGTGAAAACAAAAACAGAACACATTGGAAATGTTAACTAGCTCACCGGCTACCTCCAAGAACTCTTTCAGGCCTCACAGTAAAATGTCGCCACCTTCTGCTCTTACAGGTTCCTACAACTCTTAAAAACCAGTCAGTCAGACAGAAAAAAGAAAGCCGTAAATTTCACTGCTGGCAAAAGGACAAGGCATCGGCACGAAAGTGAAGAACACGCTCCTCCTGGAGGAACACAAAGCCTAACCACTGTGTTTAACAAACCTCACTTCGAGGCTTGGCTTTCCACTTGTTCTGACCGCCCCGCGCAGAGCTTCGGGCTGACCACGCTCCGGGTCGCCCGAGCCCCGGCACTGCGCGGAGCGCCCTCGCCGTGGCACCCCGGGACGGCACACGCCGGTGCCGGAGCCTCTAACCGCACCGGCGGCGCGCACGGCCGCAGCCATCCGCGCGGGTCCCCGCCTGCGTCCCCGCAGTCCCGGGAAAAGAGCGCAGGGCAGGCGGCCTCAGGGACCGGCCCTCCCCCGCGAAAGCCCCGCGGCTGCTCTCGGTCACGCTAGCGGCCCAGGGGTCGCAAACTCTATCCGACGACACGGCAACTCTCTCATCCTACCTACATCTCCCTTAAGGGAAGCGCACCAGCGCGGACCGCAACCTGTTCCCTAACGCCTTCAAGTCCCGCACGCGCCAAGCCCCACGCTCGGGGGGGGGGGGGCAGATTCGCTTTCCTCGTCCCCGATTGGCCAGCGAGCCCGCCACTCCAACTCCCTCCCTCCTGTCGCAGGCGCCTTCTCGGGATTCCCGCCCCCCCGCCCCCCCGCCCCTCCGGGCGGCCGCTGATTGGTCGCGGCGAGGGGGCGGGGCCCGCCTCTTGAAGCTCGCTCGGCTGAGGCGCACGCCGAGCCCGAGGCGCGGAGGCGCGAGGACCGCACGAGCCCCGCCGGCCCCGCCCCTCCCGGCCCGGCCCCGCCCCGTCCCGCGGCGACTGCTCCGGCCACCGCTTCCGCCCCCCCGAAGCGCGGCTCCCAAGCTCCGGCGGCGGCGGTTTGCGCTCGCTCGTTGGTCCAGAGAGTTTAGGTCTGGCCCTAGAAGACCCGACGGGGTGAGGCGGGGACGGGAGCTGCGGGGGTGACCGGCAAACCGCTGCCAACGGCCGCCGTCGGGCCCCCTCGCGCTCGGCTCGCCGGCGCCGCCGTCGGGCGCGGCCGCGGGCTGGCCTGCGCGGCCGCCCCGTCCACCGCGGCCCCGGGGCCCGGGCTCCCGGCCGCCGCCGTCGCCGGCCTCCTGCCGCCGTCGGGCCCGCCCCGACCGGGACCCAGCCCGGGCGGCCGGCCGCGCCCCTGCGTGAGTGGCTGCCGGGAGCCAACTGCCCGCCGCGCCCGCTAACGCACACGCGGCGCAGCCCGGGTGTGGGAGGACCGCGCAGTGGCCGCCCTGCCGGCTGCGGCCTCCCGCCGGGGTGCGCCGCCTTCCCGCTAACCTCGCAGGGGGGACCCGACGGCACCTCGTGGCTCCTAGCACTCCGCCCCATCTCGCCCTCCAAGGGTTAGTTAAGACCGGAGGGTGGCAGAGACAAGGCGGCTTGTTCCAGAAACTTCCGAATCGGGTGTCCCGAGCTGTGCTAGGTAGATCCGTTTCCACGCGTACGTGTTTAACCTAGTGCCTCAATAACTGTTACACGTATGCCACCGGCGGTGTGAAGGCTGTTGTTAGCACTGTATCCGCCACACAGCAACAGGGCCTCGTTTTCTGTGGGCAGAATATTTTAAGCGCTAATTTTCATATCAAAGTCTTGGACACTAACCTTAATGCCCAAACTATATGACATCACATGTAAAATTCAAGCAACCTTATAAGGTAAGGATTATTTATACCAAGAATATGTCGCAAGTCTATAGTGTGTGGCTGAAGTTAAGGCGTAAGTGTTCAGTGGTGTTGTTTTGTTGGTGGGAAACTTGGACTTTAAGAAAGGATTGCCAATAAGTAATTTCTGTAAAAATCTAATGCTGAGTGTTTGTTATTTTAGTATCTGATGGTTGGCAAGATAAAAAAAAAAAGAGGGAAAATGTAATTTCTGTGGTCAAATTGTTAAGATTTCAAATGACATAGAAGGCTAAGAAAGGATAGGTAGTGTATTTAGTTTGGATGGGCATTTGTAGATACAAATTCAAAGAGCACATAGCATTTGGGTTAGTATGTAAAATTTGTTTACAGTGATTTGAAACAAATTGTACATATGTGAGAGAGTACAGGGGCTTGGGTAAAAGTCAGAGGACAACTCTGAGGAGTAGGTTCCAGAGGTGGAACTCAAGTTTTCAGGCTTGAGTGGCAAGTGCCTTACCCCACTGCATATCGTGGTCCCCAGTGCTTTTTCTGAATAGTTCTTCATTTTTAATCTTAAATTTAAGTGTGTTCTACATGATGAAATACCTATTACTAAAACTTTTAAACATTATATTTAACCTTTGCAATTAAACACGCTCTGATTCATTAATAGAAAAAAGTTTGAAATGAAAATCCATCTCTGAACTTGTATTTAGAAATTGTTTTAGATGTATAGGACCACACTTTATCTTTCAGACATGTGGCCTGTAAGACCCTGTCTCATTAAAATAAATGTTGTTCAAAATCTCCATTAAGCAGCCCTCAGGGATTGGCATACCATGCTCAGTAATACTGAGATACAGGGAGCCACACAGATACGATGTACTTTGTAGAAAGGGGTTGTGTGTCTTAAATTGTTAAACTACACATAGTTTTAAAGTCTTAAACTTTATGTAATGTTCCCTTTTATCATCTGAGAACTTTTTGTGATAGTACAGAAGATGAAGTTTCAGTTTGGTTAGAATACGAATAGAACAAGTGTTTAGACAAGTAACTTTTTCCTGTATGTTTTCCAAACATTTTGTTGTACTTACTGTTTTCATTGCTGCATTCCTTGGAAAGGCAGTCCAAGTCTGAAAAGATGTAGAATATGTGCACAGGAGCACAGTTGCCTTGGGAGCTGGAGTCACAGGCCATATTGAAGTCACATAACATTTATCACTGAATTATAGAGAAGGGCACACATTTAGAACGAATACAGGTTTCAGATCTTTTTCTGTTTTGTTTTTTTTTTTTTTGTGATAACTCATCCCTACCTTCTGGTTAAGTTAAATAACCTTAAAATAAGCAGAAATGAGATGGTGTGTACTGTTCCGAAACAAGAAAAGGAGGAAGAGAAGAGCTTTTAGCTATAGTTGAGCCTTTAACATGTTGTTTTACTATATAAACAGTCTCAGCACTTCAGAGGCTGAGGCAGTTGAAGGGCAGCCTGGGCTAAGTAGCAAGCTTCCTCCCTTGCAGAATTTGCACATAGACATTTAAAAGTGACTATTCATGGGTGGATATTCTGTGTCATGGTAGAACAGTGTTGGGTTAGATACTGCAAACTGAGGTTTTAATCACTGCACAGACTAGAGGGCTTTTTGCGTTTTAGGTTTTTGAAGTTTTTGTTTGCTCTTTAATTTAATTTAATTTAATTTAATTTAATTTATTTAATTTTGGAGACAGGGTCTCACTATGTACTCCTGGCTGGCCTGAAACTCCCAGGTAGACCAAACTGCCTTCATAGTCACAGAGGTCTTCCTGCCTCTGCCTGCAGAGGGCTGGGATTAAAGTCATGTGCCGCCGGGTCTGTCCAGACTAGGAGATTTTAAAGGTGTATTCTGATTCTCTTTGGACAAGTGGATGCTAATTGCTTTTTGTGTGTTTCCTCAGGCAATGACCACTATTTCCTTTTTTTTTTTTTTTTTTTGAGTCTTGGTTTCTTCTTTGATTGGTAACTGATGCTGTTTGGTATGCCAACCCCAAAGATCTACCTCATCTTTTTTTAAAAAGGGTTCTAGAGATGGAACTCGGGTTCAAACATTTTTCTGATTCCGCTGTTTGCCTGGGTTATTTTTTAAATATAAAAAGTAATGTCTTACGGAGCATAGGCAGAATAGACAGCATCATCGATGAGATGCAAGTAGGTAAAAATGTTTAAAGTGAGAGAACATTTGCATAGGCAGATACCTACTGTTCTCTGCCTCAAGGTGTTTGTCTCAGCGTTTTTATTTTGTTATATATATATTTGACGTTTTGATTACTACACTTATTATTACACTTTATTTACTTTGTATCCCAGCTGTGGTCTCCTCCCTTGTTCCCTCCCAATTCTCTCTCCATCCCTCTTCTCTTCTCATGCCCCTCTCCAAGTACACTGATAGGGGAGGACCTCCTCCCCTTCCATCTGACCCTAGCCTATCAGGTCTCATCAGGACTAGCTGCATTGTCCTCCTCTGTGGCCTGGTATAGCTGCACTCCCCCCCAGGGGGAGGTGATCAATGAGCCAGCCACTGAGTTCATATCAGAGACAGCCCTTGTTCCTCTTACTAGGGCACCTAATTAGAGGCTGAGCTGCCATGGGCTATATCTGAGCAAGAGGTCTGGGTTATCTCTGCATGGTCCTTGGTTGGAGTATTGGTCTTTGAAAATACCCCTGAACTGAGATTTTTTTGGTTCTGTTGTTCTCCTTGTGGAGCTCCTGTCTCCTCCAGGTATTTCTGTCTCCTCCTTTATTCATAGGATTCTCTGCACTCTGCCCAAAGTTTGGCTACGAGTCTCAGCATCTGCTTTGATACCTTTCTGGGTAGAGTCTTTCAGAGGCCCTCTGTGGTAGGCTACTGTCCTGTTCCTTGTTTTCTCCTGCTTCAGATGTCTATCCTGTTTGCTCTCTGAGTGAGGACTGAGCAACGTCCCTAAGGTCATACTTGTTTAGCTTCTTTCGGAGTATAGATTTTAATATGTTTATCCTATAGTATATGACTGAAATCCACTTATAGGTGTGTCTTTCTGCTTCTGAGATACCTCACACAAGATGAACCTTTCTAGATCCTACCATTTGCCTGCAAATTTCATGATTTCCTTGTTTTAAATAGCTGGTTAGTATTCCATTGTGTAAATGTACCACACTTTCTGTATCCATTCCTGAACTGAGGGACATCTGGGTTGTTTCCAGGTTCTGACTATTACGAATAGAGCTGCTATGAACATGGTTGAGCAGATGTCCTTGTTGTAGACTTGAGCATCTTTTGGATATATGCCTAGGAATGGTATAGCTGGATTTTGTGGTAGCACTATTCCTAATTGTCTGAGAAAGTGACAGATTAATTTCCAAAGTGGTTGTACAAGTGTACATTCCCACCAGCAATGGGGAAGGGTTCCACTTTCTCCACATCCTCTCCAGCATGTGTTGTCACTTGAGTTTTGATCTTAGCCATTCTGATGGGTGTAAGGTGAAATCTCAGGGTCGTTTTGATTTGCATTTTCCTGATGACTAAGGATGTTGAGCATTTCTTTAAGTGTTTTTCTGCCATTAGATATTCCTGTATTAAAAATTCTCTGTTTAGCTCTGTACCCCATTTTTTAATTGGTGTATTTATTTCTTGGTGTTTAAATTCTTTAGTTCTTTATATATTCTGGATATTAGTCCTCTGTCAGATAAAGGGTTAGTGAAGATTCTTTCCCAATCTGTAGGCAGGCGTTTTGTTCTGACTACAGTGTCCTTTGCTTTACAGAAGCTTTTCACTTTCATGAGGTTCCATTTATTGATTGTTGCTCTTAGAGGCTGTGCTGTTGGTGTTCTGTTCAGGAAGTTGTCTCCTGTGCCAATGAGTTCAAGGCTCTTCGCCATTTTTTCTTCTAACTGATTTAGTGTGTCTGGTTTTATATTGAGGTCTTTGATCCACCTGGACTTTAGTTTTGTGCAGGGTGATAAGTATGAATCTGTTTGCATTTGTCTACATGTAGACATCCAGTTAGACCAAAACCATTTGTTAAAGATGCTATCTTTTTTCCATTGTATGGTTTTGGCATCTTTCACAAACTGAAAGAAAAAAAACCACATGACAATCTCCTTAGATGCTGAAAAATCATTTGATAAAATCCAATACCCATTCATGTTTAAAGTCTTGGGGAGGTCAGGGATACAAGGCACATCCCTAAGCATTGTAAAGGCAATATACAACAAGCCTATAGCCAACATCAAACTGAACGGAGAGAAACTTAAAGCAATCCCAC